CCGTATTCAGATCTCAACAAATAAGACGGTGATAAATCACTCCCGGCAGTCCATTACGGACCCACTTCAGCCATTGATTTCAGATTACCGTGCGGAATAAATTTTTCCCAGACGCCAGTAATAACAATAATAGAGCTCACTCTAGATGGATGCGTTATTCGGCCTGCCGCAGACCTCAAAGTTTCCGCTTGTGATAAACGCCCGTATTTTTGTTTCATTTCCTTTTCTTTCTTTCCGTATGCAAAGTAGATCTTCCAGGGCCCTCAATGAATGGGGCCTGAATTGTTCCCCGGAGAGTCGCTGCTCAAATTAAGCGTGCTGCGACTTTTCAGTGGATTCGCACTCTATGCAAATAACTGCGCTTGTGAGCAGTCACAATTTGCCTCTCAGCAGTTAAAATGAGTTATCGCTCTGTAGTTTTGTCACGCGCAGCGGACACGGCAAATCCTCTAAATGTTAACATGGCTAACATTTATTTTTGGACACGTTCAGCGTAGCACCTCTGCGAATTCGGACAAATGTGGGCCTTGTCTCGTTTGCATCACTGCGCGTGTTTTACATGTTCTTTTCCCAAGCCATTTTAAAACTGAAATCTTAATATCGGTAATTATGAAAAATGTGTTAATATTGAATTTGCAATGCGCGTTTATAAGAAGTACGATTAACGGTCAAAGGACACTGAAAACAGAAATTCATCATTTTATTTAATTAATTTTTTTGAATTCAAACGTTTTGTCTGCAAATTTAAGACAGACACACAATCCAAAAAAAAAAACTACAAAAAATTTTCTTCCTAAACTTCGTACATTTATTGTATTTATTTTTAATTATTCAGCTGGAAGTGAAGAGATCGGGCTTTTTCCTTGTTGTAAAAATTGTTTTTATTAAAAAACAAAAACGCTGGATCTTGAATTTGTTAGTTTAAAGATTTTTTTTTTTTAATATGTGGTTTTTCTATTTTGCTGATTTTGCTATTTTTCTGGCTCACAAAAGAGGGTCGCAGACCGCGACCCAAACTGGTAGAGCCGTTTTTTTTTTTCATATGAAAAAAAAATTGCAAAGATTAAAAAGCCCGAGCTCTTCATTTCCATGATCATCTCCCCAATTTCTTCAAACAAAAATATTTATGGACTATTTGTAATTTTATTTTATGTTTTATTTATTTATTATTATTTTATTTATTCATCTCAATTTTTAGATAGACTCATCATATATTCTGCAGATATTCTGTATAAAAAATAGTTATATTATTATTTATTTCTTCTCTATTAATTTACAGTTAAACTTATCACAATTTAAAACAACAGGTTCAATTAGATTCATAAGTAATAATAATAGAAAATGTCAAAAATGTATTTGTCACAATGTATTGACAAATTATGAAGTTATTTGGTGATGTTGGAGATACGGAGTTGAATTATTCACTCCAAAAACCGGCAGTCAATTCCGGGTTTCGAAATCATGCATGCAGCATAAAGGGTCGCCGTGTGTGTTGGTTGCCTTTGTGGCTCCGACGACGCTGAACCCGAGCTCGCCGCTTCGCCTACAAATGCACTCGAAAGAAAGGCAGGGCGGCACACAATAGAATTTGACTGTGACGACACGTGAATTTCAAGCAGCTCCGATGGAACTGCAGTGCGCCGTAATTTGATATTCCCCCTTTGCTTGCACGCGAAAGTCCCGCAGCCATTTTTTAATGGCCACTTTTTGCAAAGTTTGCAAGCACCGTCGCCGACAAAACACACGCCCTGCCTACAACGACAAAGGAGAGGGAACATGCGTATTCTTGGCAAATTCCTTCTGCGAAAACTTGATCACGCATATATACATACATATGTGGGAACGACTGCGTGAGACTGGTGCCAAGTGGAAAAATCAGAGAGTTGAGCATCTCGGCAGTGACGTGGAAAACCTTCAAGAGTGCTGCGAATGGAATAAGGAAAGTAAAAATCCTCTCAGTTGAATTCCAAAGAAGCAGCCCTACGATTTCCAATTAATTTTGAAATTTCCAAAGAGAGGAGAAATTAATTCTTTGTAAGCAAAGGAATTCTGAAAGGGTCGAGATGAGCATTTTATTATTAAATTTGCTAAATGCACTGAAACGAAACCTACCTCTCTCACACAATTTTCCACATTTTCTTCTCTTTTTTCCTTTGGATCAATTTTAACTTAAATCAACAGATAACAATATGTTCTAAAATTACAAAAAAAAAAAAAAAAAAAAAATACTTTACAGATCACATGTGAATTTTTCAAAAGCTAATAAAATTCCTCATTACTTTCTTTTTCTAGCTGCCTTCAAGCACTCCATACCAATTACACTCGCCTTCTTGGAAGTTCAATATTGACCTGATTTTTTTGTATGCCTGTGCTGTGTACGAGGCAACCGTTTGCGCGCGTAGCTAAATCAATTTTCCGCCGTATCTAATTTGCATACAAATTACCCTGTGCCGGTGTAAATATTTCACAGAAAACGGCGCTTTTATTGATACATCCAGGCAGCTCGCTCTGTTTGCTCACGAGCGAATTTCCAAGATTTATTTTCCTCCTATCTTTTGCTCTTCCGGAACGCGCTTTTACATAATTCAATGTTGTATCAACGAATGTACGCTTTTATTTGCAGAATGCACAAGAAGTAAATTTCGCCTCCGGCCAACAAGCAGCCATCGATCGGCGCTTTAATAAGGCTCGTTTTAAAAGTAGCCAATGTTACAGCACACAACCTTGTTGCTATCTTTCATACCGTCGATGCATTACATCGATTGAAATGCGAAGGGGAGCCTCCTGCTGCTATTAACGCCATTGTCAGGCGGATGTAATGCGTCTGCGGGGAACGCTTTTTCTTAATGTACATTTTGAAAGCCCGCCTGGAGGGATTCAATTTATTTTTATCCAACAATTTCAAAAGACCGGAAGAATGAGGTACGCCTAATGGGGCTTTGCGTTATTTCTCGAACAACAAAAAAGCTTTTTGGAACGTGTAATGAATGAAGTATGTTAAGAGAAACGCCAAGGTTGCAATTTATATATTCAATATAATTAATTTCATTTCCCACACGTCGGAAGATGTGTAATATTTGAAATAAATTTGGAGGGAATTAGCAGTGTACTTTATAATATGAAAATATAGATTAATTATATCAACTTTTTGCACATATTCAAAGAACATATATATTTTTGGTTCTGCTGAATACGCATAATTTGAATATTCTGGCACTTTTTACGTCCAACTTTGCGCCGAATTTCTCTGCAAATTTTGCAACGCCGGATCTCGTAAAGCGTCGTAAAGTGAATTCTTCAGCATTTCCGTCCGACCCTATGTGTTACAGAGTCGAAGGGAAATATTTGCTCCAAAAGTTTGCCCAAAAAGTTAAAGAGAGAGAAGCTCCTTATTGCTCAGTCAGTGTCCAAAGCAAAAAACTCTCTGGCTGGCCGGGATGCCATTTCGTTCACACCCTCGTTGCATTTGCAAGGGAAATTTTTCGCTGTGCCATTTTGCGGGAGCGGAAGCGACATAAATTCTGGCATAACACACTGCCGGGTGAACATTATTTCGCTTCCTCTTTCTTGCTCTCTCTCTCTGGCCACAAGATAGTCCAACTTTATGGGTGCGGCATGTAGCAGCGCACGGATGAATGTCTAATCAGACTCGGCGTTGGCCCCCGGGCTCTGCGTCAGAAAATGAACATCGGACCCTCGAAATTACAAAATAATGATCCGTCGGCCCAAATTAAACGGCGTAATGGAGCTGACGGCGGAGTAGTGAGAGGGTCGCTGCCACCCCGATAATTGGGGCTCATCACGTGAAAACACAACACACACTCACGCCAAAACATCATCATTGATTAACATTAGGTAGGGCAAGGTGACCTCTTCGCCTCACCAAACTAATGGAAGCGCTGCTCTTTTTAGAGAACTTTTTCACCCCAGCCGATCGTTTTTTATGCTGATTTTACAAGCGGGCCCACCCGTTCCACGCGCTATTAAAGGAAACGTCGCGTGGAATAATGAGTATTTTTTTTCCGAATTAAAACTAAAAGTATTGTTACGTGATTTGGTACCACCCTAGCGCCGGTGAGCGGCCGCGGAGCAAATTGAAATTGAAAATTGTGAAGTGCGTTTGTGACGTCATAAAAGTTCTGCTGGCAAGCGCAAGAGGGCGTTGACGGCCGGCCACTTGACCATGCTTTGTTTTGTTTTGAGGCAAGCCGAAAGGCGAGAGTGCGTCGCCTGCCGACTTTATTTAGCCAATTGAAGCGAACGAAGCACCGTTATTCATCGGCCGACGAAGCCGAACGTCATTTTGTCAGTCGGCAAAGCATCACGTCTGCCGAGTTTGTCGTGTCCGAGTATTATGCCAAGTCTTCCGCGCGAGCGACGAGATGGAAAAGTATGTACGTTTCGCAAGGAGTTGTTGTGTTTTTCGCATGATGTGTCTCTATATTTTGCACGCACAAGTTGCTCAAACGTAAACCACTAAAATCTGACACGTCAAGCACGACATTAGCCGAATTAAAATGCGTTGGAAATCTTTCTAAATTATTCAGTATGTTCATAGAAAACCATTACATTATTATTTATTTATTTTAATTCTTGGTGAAAGGTGCCCACGATAATTATTAGTTAATTTTCATTCAAACCTGAAGTACATGGTGCATCTCAATTTTGCTTCAATTTTGGGGAGCAACGCTCTTCCTATTTATTTTTTATATATAAAATTTTATCTGCTTTATTCGAAGACTAAAATATGAAATATTTTCAGGTGGCCAAAAGAAAACTTCTGAACCCGAGCCCTGCATATGTTCTCCAGTGGCAGCATTGCGTATGCAGATGATCGTCGACTGTGCTTTGGCAAGAAGACTGAATTTTTGACTGGTGATTGCTTCGGACAGTACATAAAGCAAATTTTTTAACAAACTCTCTTGTGTTTGGAGCTTGACATAATTAAACTTACTAAATTATTTGCAAATTAAAAAGCAATAACAATAAGCTGTTTACAAGCATGAAGTGTATAATAAACAATAACTAATATTAAAATTTCACAGATCTAAGCTGAATAATTTATGTGCTATATCCCTCTTTACAAATATTAATAATATTTGGTATAATTGGCATAATTTTAAAAATTTTAACGCATTGAAATTTTACATTTTTATAAATAAAATTAGAAGTTCAGTTCCTAAGATCATTTATTCGGCATCCAACAAAACTTCATCCAACTCATCCAAGTTATGCATTCTAGACAGCAAATTTCTGCCTTTCTCCTCAACAGTCATTGCCGGAACTTTGCTGATGTTTTGGGGAATGGGTTTTTCATACAATAGTTGCTTCACAGATTTTTCATCATAGTAGAAGGATTCGGGACAGATGACGGCTTCCAGTATGCTCTCTTGTAGTTTTCGTCGCCATGAGTCATCCCTTGTTTTGTACCTTTTCCTTAGGGTTCGATGACCAGTTCTCTTCACAAAGATGTCTTCAAGGGCAATAACTTCTGTTGGGTGCCTGATTTTGAAGTTCTGCTCCAGGCAAGCAAGGGCCCTCCGACAACTCATGCCACGATGGCCAAATGAGCAATACTTCTGATGATACTTCATGCTCTGGTTATTGAGCCTCTCGACAACACCAGTGTGAACAAATTTCGCCGCCAGCTTGATGTCTGAGCAAAATTTTTTGTCCGTCACCAATTTCTCGATAGCCTTCAGTTCCTTCACATGTTTTGCAGGAATTAGCCACTTTTTCTTCCTGCTGGCATCTGCTGAAATGGGGGGATGACGACAAGCTGTAAATTTCTCTCCCTCGAATTCGTGCTGGTTCTGTATGTGGTGCAAAAATGAGGTGAACTCTTCAACCAAAAGATCACCATCGCCGCCAGCATTTCTACAGCTTGCCCAGAAATGATTGACTAAAGACGTTTTCCACTCGATGAGAGCTTTCAATCGACATGTTGTAGTGAAGATTTTCATTAGGCCCTTTCCAAGGTGCCAGACCTAATTGATCAGGAGAATAGATTATGGAACCAATGAATATATTAGGAATTGTTTTTAAACACTTGCATCAAAATACTGGGCAATAACCCCTTTGAAAGGAGGCTTCTGCAACATAGCTCGTATCCCAGAATGTCTGTCAGTACAAATTCCATCTAGGAGATCATGAGGAAACGTTTCGATAATTCTCTCGAGCAGATACTTGCAGGCTTCCTTTTCAAGCTCTCCAGACACTTGCCCTTTTTGGAAAACAACAAAGTCAACGACCTGTAAGAGAAACTTTCTATAATATTGAAAATTAAATTTCATATTATTGTACTTGTTCTGTTGCTGAATCCATTATTATATAAGACACATATTTCGCCGAAAATCCCGGAGAGTCGTACTGACCGTCGCCCAAAAGAATTATCTCCCTGTTGTTGTCGATTAGTTCTGTCACAACCCTCTTTTGCTCGACCATCCACGTCATTTCCACCACAGGGTGGACAGTCTGGTTCAAGTGCCTAAAATATGTGCTTCTGTGGACACATGACAAATCGAGCGCTGTGCAGAAACGTCGGTGGGCCTCAAAATTGATTCCGCTCAGAAAAACTGCTGATGAGACAGCGACGTTCAAAACCGGCTGCAACTCAACCATCCTTTGAAAGAAAAAATGTAAATAATTTTTGGGTAGCAACAAATGTAAAATTTATTTCTTTTCTTTCATATATACATAGAAATATATATATAGGAGCTACACCAAACATAAATCCAAAAAGAAACCCACATAATTGAGCTTTTTATAATATTAATATTACAACAGTATATAAATATGGATAAACATTAATTTTTAACAAATTTATGTAACAACTTGAAAATATTAACAAAATTTAAAAAAATATATATTCAATAAATTTGAAGCAATACAAATAAGATATATATTATTAACAAATATAAAAAAATACAAAAAATAATGATCAGAAAGGTGAGTCTGTGCATTGTGCAAGCTTCAATAAATATCAGTGCAGAACACTAAGGACAAGACACAAGTAATTTTTTGCTTACTTCTGATTCTTCCATTCTATAGAATGTCCCTCTAAGCAGATTGCAGTGACAGTAATCAAAGTTCCAACTTCAACTAACTTTCGATCCTCAACCGGGGCCCCACATCGTTGACAAAATTTGAATAACTCAAGCAAACTGTCCTTTTCAACATAGAAAACAGAGGAATTAGCGCTTGAGTGTGTTTCTTCTTCCTCAGCTTCATCAAATTCAGAATCCGACGATGATTCCAGATCCAAAGCAGCTTCCGGAGGCATAAAAGTTTCATCATCTGTGTCTATTTTTTTAGAAATTTTATTATTGTAATTTTCTAAAATGAAATTCAATCTGCTTTTTACCATCGTTGTAATAATCCGCCTGAGAGGTTTCCTCGTCAGAAGATGATATTTCAGAAGAAGTGTGCTGGTCGGGCAAATTTTCCGTGTCACTGACACTTTCAGCGCATAGCCTGACGGATGGAGGTTCTATAGTGTAAAAACAGAACATATACAACTATCCATAGTAAATATTTGAAGATAATAATTACCATAATAGCTAGACAGGCCTCTTTTTCTCCGAGTAGAAGAAGAGCAGGCTGCTTCAGTTGGGTTGCCATGATTTTCGGAGTCTAGAAAAAAGTATTATTTATATGTTATATTATTTTTATGTCCAGGAAAATAATTTATATTATAAGGTTGCACAGGCTCATTTGCATTAGAGTTCTAAATTTGCAAGGGGCATAAATGCACTTCACTCTTGGGCATTTGAAAACCATGATAATAATTATATTTACCTGTCTGAGTAGCAATAGTCTCCTTTCTCTTCGGAAGATTTACGGAGGGAACTGCATTTTCATGTAGCTGTCGTTTCGAATTTTTGAACAAATCAGGCAGCAGTTTCCTCCTCAAATCAGGGCCCACATCAAATGCATTGGAATCAAAATGGTCCGAGCAGAGGAATGTGTGAACGTTTTCATCATAATCGGCTTCAGTTACTTGCAGAATGACAAGCCACTTCCTGTGTCTGTTTAAAAGTATTTTAAAGTTATTCATATTTTACAAATTATATAAGAAAATTTTTGTCCTTGAAAAATTTATCTATATTATTTGCACTTACTGCTCAGGGTTTTCATCTTTGTTGGGGAACTTATGAAGGCTCCGACCATTCTTCTTGCAACTTCTCTTATTGCATACATAACAACTATATTTTCCCATTACAATTGCACCTGTACATTTCAAAATTTCATTTAAAAACTGAAGTGTAAAATATGTGCAGTAGCAAGCACAAACAAAAAGAGGCCTGACACGCCTCGTGTTTTCTATTTGACCTCTATTCTCTACAGGGCACAGGCGCGCAAAAGCACCATTCTAAAAATTCCAAATATATCATGTGACTACAAAAATAAATTCCAATATCGTTGACAGGGAAACCCACCAGTAGTTGTTGAATAAAAACTCCACTCACAAAAATTGTAAAAAGCGCTCAACAATTCAAGTCTCTTGAAAAGGTTTGATTCATCACTTAGTAATTTTTCTAATTAATAATTAAATTTTATAAAGATGGATGGGCCCAGTTATGAATCGGACTCAAATTCCGAGGGAGACATGCCATCTCAGTTGGACTTCTCCTTAGATTTTGATCCTGTGTACACTGACGAAGAGCTGCAGAAAATTCTGGAAGAAGAAGCTCAGGCTGAGGAGGAAAGGCTTCGTTTGCAGAATCGAGTTGGAAATACACATTGGTGTACTTGCGGAAGCTGCATGGCCATGGCCACTGGGGCCGAATCGCTCTGCTGCAGAGAGATTTCGCTTGTAATGGATAAGAACATTGGAAGTGGATGCATTACAGAAGCAGATGACTTCAACAATGCTGTACTTAGCTTGAATATGATAAAACTTCATAGACATTTTTACGTGTCTAAGATAAAAGATAAGAATGAGAGAGCTCAGTGGCTTGTCGATGACAACAATAATTACCGATTGTTCGGTTACAGGGTTTATATTTTGTGGCTGAATAATTATGAAAAATTAGGTCACAAGGTGAGGAAAGTGATACCTTCCTGTGTTGTTCACTGTATAAGATCAAAGTGGCCATCTGTTGATGGACAGTACACTGGTTTTAGAGAAGCCGACAATGATTAAATGATTGAAAGTTGTATGATCTTCAATTTATTGTACAAATAAATTACTACTGCAACTGAACTTCTAATTTTATTTATAAAAATGTAAAATTTCAATGCGTTAAAATTCTTAAAATTATGCCAATTATACCAAATATTATTAATATTTGTAAAGAGGGATATAGCACATAAATTATTCAGCTTAGATCTGTGAAATTTTAATATTAGTTATTGTTTATTATACACTTCATGCTTGTAAACAGCTTATTGTTATTGCTTTTTAATTTGCAAATAATTTAGTAAGTTTAATTATGTCAAGCTCCAAACACAAGAGAGTTTGTTAAAAAATTTGCTTTATGTACTGTCCGAAGCAATCACCAGTCAAAAATTCAGTCTTCTTGCCAAAGCACAGTCGACGATCATCTGCATACGCAATGCTGCCACTGGAGAACATATGCAGGGCTCGGGTTCAGAAGTTTTCTTTTGGCCACCTGAAAATATTTCATATTTTAGTCTTCGAATAAAGCAGATAAAATTTTATATATAAAAAATAAAAAATAAATAGGAAGAGCGTTGCTCCCCAAAATTGAAGCAAAATTGAGATGCACCATGTACTTCAGGTTTGAATGAAAATTAACTAATAATTATCGTGGGCACCTTTCACCAAGAATTAAAATAAATAAATAATAATGTAATGGTTTTCTATGAACATACTGAATAATTTAGAAAGATTTCCAACGCATTTTAATTCGGCTAATGTCGTGCTTGACGTGTCAGATTTTAGTGGTTTACGTTTGAGCAACTTGTGCGTGCAAAATATAGAGACACATCATGCGAAAAACACAACAACTCCTTGCGAAACGTACATACTTTTCCATCTCGTCGCTCGCGCGGAAGACTTGGCATAATACTCGGACACGACAAACTCGGCAGACGTGATGCTTTGCCGACTGACAAAATGACGTTCGGCTTCGTCGGCCGATGAATAACGGTGCTTCGTTCGCTTCAATTGGCTAAATAAAGTCGGCAGGCGACGCACTCTCGCCTTTCGGCTTGCCTCAAAACAAAACAAAGCATGGTCAAGTGGCCGGCCGTCAACGCCCTCTTGCGCTTGCCAGCAGAACTTTTATGACGTCACAAACGCACTTCACAATTTTCAATTTCAATTTGCTCCGCGGCCGCTCACCGGCGCTAGGGTGGTACCAAATCACGTAACAATACTTTTAGTTTTAATTCGGAAAAAAAATACTCATTATTCCACGCGACGTTTCCTTTAATAATCGATTAAACAACCAGTGGCGGCGTATATATTTTCCTTTAATATACCTGCTGTGATTTCCACCGAATCGTGCGCCCATTTGAGTGCTAATTTAAAACTGCCCCAAACAGCAATCGGTCACGAAAGTAAAGAAATCCTCTGGAAATGCAAAAATATACACGTTAGGTACCTGTTAAAAATAATAATCATGCAACGTTTTGTAAAGGGTGATAAGACTCGGGCTTGGTTTTCTTAGAAGTTTTATTATTTCCCCCTCGAGCGTTTGATCAAACAATCTTGTTTCTTAATCTCGAGAGCACAGAATTAATTTTCACCGCATCGTAAATTGCGATTACAGTGTGCAATTTAATTTGAAGTGCATGCATCCTCTTAACTCTCAAGAGTTAATGAAGTGTTCGCTTCGCCTTGCAATTACTCCGAGACGAGGTGATAATAATTCACTAAGACTGTACGAGAACGTGGCAATAAACGCGAATCAAACTGCAGCGCGCCCCTAATTGCATAATTAGAGCAATCAGAAGTGTTCGCAGGCAGCCGAGAATGGCGGAGACGAATTGGCACAGAAGGGAGAATAAGTCACTCTATGGTGCACACAGATCGATTCGCACTCGGGGTCAATCCGTCTCTGGGACTATATAATTGGCAATTCTTCGCGGTGCAAGTGCATTTTTATTCCGATACGAACCAATTTGGCGCAACAGCAGCGGATATTAATGATTCTCTTTGCGGACAAATTGATTCTGCGGTCGCGTCCAATTATTTTCAATAGAAATATTCTAGGGATAGGGAGGATACGATCCAATTTATTCAGGGTGTTTGCTATGCTTCTGTGACACCCAAAGTGAGTGGTCTAACTAGACCTTATATTTTGATGGCCAAAAGAAGCTTTTCAAAAAGGTGCTCTATAAGAAACAGACGAGAAAATTAAAATTTCCAATCAGATGTCACTCATTGAACGACTAATAATGACATTACATGCTTCATCGGATGACACTTCTTGGACGACAAATTATGACATTAAATGCTTCTATGACACCCAAAGTTTAGGGTCTAACTAGAGCTTCAATTTTGATTGCCAGAAGAACCTTTTCAAAAAGGTGCTCTTTGGGAAACAGACGAGAAACTCAAAATTACCAATATATCGGATGACACTCTTTGAACGACTAATGATGACAATTATTGCTTCTGTGACACGCAAAGTGAGAGGTCTCACTAGACGTTATATTTTGATGGTCAAAAGAAGCTTTTCAAAATGGTGCTCGTTAAGAAACAAACGATAAATTCAAATTTTCCAATCTGATAACACTCTTTGAACGACTAATAATAATAATTGCTTCTGTGACACACAAAGTGAGTGGTTTAACTCGACCTTATATTTTGATGCATCAAAAATATAAATATTTTTATTTGAAATTTATACCGTTATTTTTCTCAAGCAAAAATTAAATGATTGCAGTTGGCTCAGATTACTTCTTGACTTTAAAGGAGAAATTAATATTCTGTTAGCTGATGCTCTTGGTTAATTTGAGACGGCAATGAATTCTAGGGGTAATTCTTTTTCGCAATCTCACTATTTATATTTTCCTTTTCCGGTTTAATTTAATTTTTAATTGACTTTTTGAAATTCGGACTCAATCGGATTAAATTTGATCTGGATAAAAATGGGAACAGTCGAAGCGGTGCGCCTCAGATGGAGCGACGTGGTAACAACGTCCGACCGAATTTTACCAAATCGGTCTTGCGCTCTATCTCTCTCAACCAACTAGGGCTAGGAGAGTCAGTGGCGTTGACGAAAGGAATCTCTTGATGAAAGAAACACTTTGTATTTGATAAAACTCACTCAAAGAGAAGGAGAGAAGCGGGAGGCTTGTTTTATTTTGGCCTTAGTACATTTTACGGATTCATGTTGTCCGTCTAGCTTTGTTTGATTTTAATTGAGTTTAATTGACATTAATTAATTTGAATAAAATAATTACATTAATTATTTTATTGGAATTTACTTTTTGATTTGATTTAATTTTTATTTAAACATTTGTTTGTGAAAGTGACTTTAATTGCTTTTAAATTTAGAATTAAAATTTAATTTATTTTTAATTGAAATTATGGTCTCAAATATCCCGCCGGGAAAGGAAAAAAATTTACGGCAAGGAATTTTTTGTAAAAGAGAAAACTTTTGAGACTAATTAATTGAAATTAAAAGTGTGTGTGTGTGTTCTTCTTAGTTGTCTTCTCTCTTGAAAATTTGGCCAAGTGAAAATCTGAGCAACTTGGCTGAGAATTAACTCGTTCGCGACTGGGCAATTAGAGTTTTACTTTTCAATGGCTTTTGCAACTGGGCAATCAATCTGACTGCTTACAACTTGGTAAGTCAGTCCGGAGTATTGTCAACTTGGACAATTTGGCGCTGCTACCTGGCAGCTTTTTCAGGAACAAAATTAAAATTTTTCTTTGTCGACAAGGACAGAAAGTTTTTGTCGCGACTTGGGCGACTAAGATGATCTTGAAAATTGAATATTTGGCCAACTAGGGACAATTTGTTTTCCGCGACTTTTGGCAGAATTGTGGCAAAATTAAAAGTTCATTCCTCTTGGGATTTGTCTGTACTCAACATTCACACGCGTCGGCGTTTGGGGTTGCTGGTCACGCTGGTGGCTGGGCTTGACGGAGTTGATGAGCTGTCGGAGTCTGAGCTGGATGAGGAGTCCGAAGAGCTTGAGGAACTGGAAGACTTTGGGGTCGCGCTTGGGGCTGCGACTACTTCAGTGGGAGGCGTGGGTGTTTCTGGTTCACCTTCAGGAAGGGCAATTCCTCGATCTGAGGTTGTTGTTTGCTGGCTTATGTGGACAAGACTTTCGTGCAGCAAGGGAGGGAGGTCATCAATGGAGGACACTCGGAGGGCATAGAATGGTTCCTTTTGCTCTTGTTGGCGACGCGAGTTTGACTGGAGGCGCAACTGAAGTTTTTTAGTTCCCAAATCATGGTAATGGTGAATGATTTCCCTCTTTCGGCGGAGGATTTCTTGGAACTTTTTCACCTGGCTGCCCATTTGTCTCCTATAATTCCTTCTGTCGCTGCTGCTGAGCGCGTTGTAAACGTCTGGATGCAAGGCGAAAACGCGCGTGCCACATGAGTCGATGACCGTCGTCGGGAAAGGCAGGCGAGTGGTGGTGCGCTGATTTGCGTTTGGACGGCGTGGGTTGCGTCCACCTTGGCGGCCCTGACGATGGTGATGCGACGTGGAGGCTGCATTTTGGGGATGCGCCCGATGTGTGCGATTGTTTGGTGGCAATTGGCGGTCTCTGTCGGCCTGGTCGTTGCCATCAATGAGAGGTGTGTTGTAAGTGTTTGTGGCTTGTACGGCTGGACGCCGCGGGATGCGGAAGGTCGAGCGTGAGCTTGAAGGGAAGTTTTCCATCTGGAGAATGAATATGTTGGTATGGGGTTGTGTGAGAAATTCGGAGAACTTACTTTTAATTGTTGCGATTGGCAGAAGGCGAGATGAAAAGTGTGCGGCTTTTTGTTTATTTTTGCCGGCCATGTGACTGTGACAAACAGTGGTGCCAACTGAATTGTGCATCACTGACACCAATCGGGTTTTTCATGATATAAGCGAATTTGACTAACGTGCCGCCGGCCGGCCGCCTCTCCAGTGAGGGTTTCGAGGTCAACTGTGTTCCTTCCGAAGAGGGATGAAATTCGGAACGGACCTTCAAATTTGGGTGATAGCGACGCGGCTACACCCTTTTCTTTGTTGGAGAGAATATTGGTTTTGCGGAGCACCATTTGACCGGGGAGAAACTCATGTTCGCGCGCGGCTAAGTTGAACTTTCTCGCATATTGCTCTTTCCTGTGAGCAATATTCTCAATGGCAACGTCATTTGCCTTTTTTAATCGCTCGATCATTTTTCTCACATTGTCGTCATAATTTTCTGGCTCTAATTTTTCACTGTGGAAAATTGGATTTTTAATTTCTCGGTGTAGCATGAGGAAATTAGGCGTGAAACCAGTTGTGTCATTCGGCGTACTGCGGATTGCATACGTGATTGCAGCAAGATCCAAATCCCATTTGCGTTGGTTGTTGGCCGCGTACGTTTTGATTTTTTGTTTCACGTCCTTAATTCGGCGCTCAGCTGGATTTTGCCTTGGCATGTAAGGAGAAATTTTAATGTCTTTGATGTTGTACATTTTAATAGCATTTTTCCAGTGTTTTGAGGTGAAAATTGTGTGGTTATCAGACTTGATTTCTTCAGGCCAGCCTAATCGGAAAAACATTGCAACTAGTCTGTCGATGGCAACTTTGCTCGTTAGCTTTCGGCAAGGGAAACATTCAACCCAGCGGCTGAATTCATCACTGGCGAGGAGGCAAAATTCATTCCCAGACGATGATCTTGGAAGTGGTCCGATTCCATCAACATTTACACATTGCATTGTGTACTCCTCGTTCTTGGCGCTGTAAAGTCCGAATTGTTTTCTGTTGTTTGGCTTAATTGTTTGGCACTCATGACACGCTTTGACATAGTCTTTAATATCATTTCGCATATTTTTCCAAACGAACATTGCAGCAATTTTCATTTGAGTTGCATAAATTCCAGGGTGACCAGATGTGGGTGCGTTATGACAATATTGCAAAACTTTTTCTCTCAAATGATCTGGGAGAACAATTAGATTTTTGCCGCCTGCTGTGTAGCGAATTACTTGGTCTGGGCCGATGGTGTACTTTTGTTTTCGGCCGGCAACAATGTCATTTCGCAATTGAATTAATTCGTCTGATTTATTTTGCTCGGCGTGCCATTCGGCGCCGGTGGCAGGAAATTTTTCCGCATTTTGAAGTTGCGTGAGGAAAATTTTTAGTCTGCGACCCATGTTTATTTCACTGCTGGACGGATTAATTAACGTGCTGGAATATCTGCGTTTGGGCAACTTTTTCTTTTTTGCAGTCGGCCGTGCGCGTTTCGCTGCACTTGGTGTGTCGCGAGCTTTTTTCTCTCTCTTCTTTGCCGCGCGGCCGTGCGGTGCATGCTGATGGTTGATTGATTGATTGACAGGTGGCAGCAGCGTCGCGACTGCATCGGGTGCTGCAGCTTGTTGCTTGTTTACTTTTTCTCGTGTGCGTGCAGTGCGTGTTGATTTTGGTGATTTTTGTGACAATTTCGTGTGCTTTTCATCCAACTTTGGGACGATTTTCGGGCATTTGGGTGTTCCTGGACTTTTCTCTTCAGCGAGGGTTTGGTTTTTCGGTTGACAGCGCTTGCATTCATGTGCATTTTGAGCAGGGTGCGAGTGTTTGTCAAAGGATAAACTGCCCTTGCTTTCGCCGTCGTCGATTGGAATTACTTCCTCGCGGTGAGTTTGTCTGTTTTTCTCGCATTTTATCGGCATTTTAATTCTGCTGAGGCAGTCGGCGGGTGCCATTTGATTTCCTTTGCGATATTTGAAGTCGCAATTCAGTCCAGAAAGGAACATTGCCCATCTCCCTAACCGACCTTGGGGTTTGGGGATTTTCAAAATGTTTTGCAAACACTGATGGTCACAATAAAGGGTAAATTTTGTGTGTTCAATGTAGGGGAGAAATTTGTTTATTGCGTAAACTACGCTCGCGCATTCAAGTTCGCTGGGGCAGTACAATTTTTCGGCGTCAGTTGTTTGTCGACTGATGAACATTACGGGCCGAAAATCGCCGGTGTTTTCGCATTTCTGCGTCAGCATTCCGCCAAAAGCGATTATTGAAGCGTCGGTCCAAACTTGAAACTCTTTATTCATATCGGGCAGGTGAAGTAAACAATTATCTGACGCAACGGCGGCGTTCAGACTTTTGAATGCATTTTGCTGCTCATTTTCCCATTTGAAATCTGCACCTTTTCGCAACAGTTTTGTGAGCGGCGCCGCTGTTGCTTGAAAATCTTTTACAAATTTTCTGTAGAATCCAATTAAACCTAAGTATCTTTGGACTTCTAATTTATTTGTGGGTGCGGGAAAATTCTGAATGCACTCAGTTTTTTCCGACAGGGGAAAAACTTTGTTTTCAGTCACTTTGTGGCCCAAAATTTCAATCTCGGTCTTGCAAAGTTCAAGTTTTTTGGGGTTCACGGTCAAATTAAATTTGCTGAGAAGTTTGAAGAGCTCTCGCAAAATTTTTATGTGCGTTTTCAAGTCGGGTGAAATGCAAATGATGTCGTCAAAAAAGCAAATCACGTTCTCGCAGTTCAGCTCTCGCAGCAACTTTTCAATCAGTTTTTGGAAAAACCATGTTGAACCATTCCATCCGAAGGGCATTCTCTTGAAGTGGAAAATTCCGCGGTGCGAATTAAAGCAAAAGTAGCGGCGGTGCGTGTCTTTGATCGGCACTTGCATGTATGCGTTTGAGAGATCAATTCTTGAAAAATATTTATTTTTTCCCAACTTGGAGAGAATTGTGTCAATTCGCGGCATTGATGCGTGCGGCTGGACTTGGCAGCGTGCGTTGAGCATTCGCATATCCGCAACAACTCTGTACTTTTGTTCTTCTCCGGGCGGTGTTTTCTTTTTCACTACGTGCAGCGGTGAGATGAAAAGTGCGTCGTCCGTCGGTTCAATTACGTCGTCTTCGAGCCATTTGTTAATTTGTTTATTGATGATTTCGCGCGTTGTTTGATTTTGCGGGCGCAGATGGCATCGGTACGGAAGTGAATCAGTCATTTTAATTTCAGCCTCAACGCCTTTTGCTAAACCAGGCCTCTCATTAAAGAGTCCTTTTTCGTGAAACTCGACTAGGAGCTTGCGAATTTCGCCACTTTTGTCGTTTGTGACGTTGTTTAGCATTTCACTGAGCATTTTATCTGCACAAATTTCATTGGTCTGAATGTTGGAAATTTTTTCTTGTGCAAATTGGTGCAAATTTTGAGGCTGATTTAGAGAAATGAAACCGTTTGGCAAAATTGCGATTTTGGCTCTTGAAAGAAAATTGCGGCCTAAAATTACTTTTTGGGACTGATCGTCAATGACGTAAAAAGGAATTGTAATTGTTTGCTTAAGAAATTTTACTGGGAGTTCAATTGCAGCAATGATTTTTGTTTGGCCATCTAAAAGTTGAATTTTTTGTCTGCAGTACCACATTTTCGCGCGTGAATTTTTTAGTCGTGAGAAAGTTTTGGAACCAATGATGGAGATGTCGGCTCCTGTGTCTGCAAGACCATTGAAATTTTTGCGGAAAATTTTAATTGGGATGAGTGGGCGTTTGAAATCTGCAGATTTTTCAATGTTGGCTGATGAAAACTGGCTGAATGCATACTCGCGCAAATTTTTTCTCCGTTCAATCACATTTCTGCGGTATCTCTTGCGTTTCACTGATTTATTATTTTTCAAGTCAAGTGTGCTGTTCTCCTCCGAGGCACAGAAAACAGCAGTCACACTCAGTTTTCCGACTTGCGGGTCTTTGAGTGCGGCGTGGCGTCGCGCTTTCGGTCATCTTTGTCGTGCGAAGGGCGAGTGCGGCTCAGAGAACGACTAGGCTCTCTTTCGCTGGAACCAAAGTGAGTCCGCCTCTCATTGGAGCGACTGCGGCTCTCTTGAGAGTAATTCGCGTCCTTTTTGTAGTAACTTTTGTCCCCAGAACTGGACCAAGATTTATTTTTGTCATCACGATCGCGAGATTTTGAGCGATTTCTTTGTGCTTTGGCGCGGGCAACCGATGGATCAAGTGCTTCCATGGGCACGGCGTGGGAGACTTTATGATCTGAATTGTCATTTTGCGAGTTTTGCGGCCGGTAACTCGTGCTCGTGTATGACAGGCTGCGTTCAACTGACTTTTCCGGCGGCGGCGGCGGTTCATACGTTCTCTCTCGGAGCATTCGTTTTTGTGCCTCGCGCGCGGCGGCGCAAAGTTCATTCAAATCATTATACGTCTCGCCGTTAAAGAAACGCATGTAGGCAAAATGCATTTGTTCCAAAACGCGGTCAATGATAGACAATTCTTTGTTTTCGCCTGGGTACAAAATGTCGTAATAGCCTTTGATTTTGTAAATGAAAGTTGTGAGTGGCTCATCTGGGTGCTGAGTTCGCTTTTCCAATTCGCGCCGCAAATTGCGTTTATAATCGACGGAGCCAAACTCACTCAAAAACTCATGTTGCAGATTTTGAAAATTGCGAATTTCGTCTTTTTTGGCATCCCACCAAAATTTTGCATCTCCCTCTAAGCAGAGAGGAAATTTTTGCATGGCGATTTGCATTGGAGTAAATTCTGACGATTCAGCGTGAGCTTGAATTAGCTGAAGGAATTCGCGTGGGGTGCGGCGATCTGTTCTTCCGCGGTAGGAGGGCAAATTGATCTTGTGCATGTTGTTTGATCTGCTCCCTGAATTTTGGCCGCGATTTGAAATCGCATCGGCTAATGTGTCTGCCAATTTTTCAAACTGCCGAGTCAAGTCGACAGTGAAATTTGGGTTTTCTCCACTCGATCTTTGGGTCGCGCGTGGGTCATGATTTGCGTGGGAGGGTTGGGAGGGTGGCGGCGCCGAAGGATTGTACTCGTCGCGCGGCGCGTTTTCCGACTCC